TCAATTACTGAACCATACACTCAAAATTATAGAAGTATACATAGATATTATTTACCATGATAAAATACAAAGCGAGAGAAAAATCATGGGTTGAAAAAATGTGAACAGTATATTAAAATATGGTTATCATCATTCACTTTACTCTGCGCGTCGTGTAATAATTGTACACACTGGAAATATTGGACCAAGAATATTTTTTATTTGTATTCGTCTATAGTTATTAAGAAAAAAAAAATAATAAATAATATATCCGATGATCGGCGTAAGCAATTTTTAAATATTTGTATACTGACAATTGTACGTTTAATTTTACGTGCAATCGTATATAGATCAAATAAATAGAATTACGTACCGTTTATTTGTATTCGGTATAGGATTTTTTTTTTTTTTTTTTTTTTAACGTCCGTCATTTTACTCTGCTTATATAACAACATACCCATAAAATTCACGGAGGAATAACAGTGTAAACGATATTTCATCGACCAATAAAAATGCGATGTAAGTCGATCAAAAATCAAGAGAAGTTTGATTGTGTGTACAGCAAGACGTGTGCAATGTACTGCGTACACAGCACATTTTATGAGAAATTCGTCATCTGCGGCGTATTAGAACGATCTGTTGTGTGTAAATAGCATCGACATCCGGCCGATTGGCAATCGGCGGGTGTTACGCGTGTTTTTACACCGCCTCGTTCAATAATGGTAATTGAAATACTAAGTAGTTACAGCCTTTTATCTCACTCGGTTTCACATTATTTGGACTCATCGGATTATCATTACCGACTCCGTCCGTATAACGATCACTGTTCGAGTCCTCGTTTTTTCGCAACATATATATTTTATAAATAAATAGGTTGATCGCAGGTAAAAATAATAACTGAAGTACGCGCGTGACTCTTCGACCACTAATTGCTTTACTTAGAAAACTTTGGTAAATTACAAATTGATTCGGCGTACCTTCCGAGAACACCAAACAAACAATAACAACAACAACAGCAGCAACAACAACAACAACAACAACAACAACAAAAACCCGTGGATATCATTTCACTGCGGTGTACGGAACGTGTATAAAAGCGAAGCGTTATATATATATATATACATTGTTATTATTGCGAGTGTGTCCTCGACTGTTTCGGAAGTCGTAGCCAGGGCACAAAAGTAAACTTATCGAAAATACTGCATTTGAGTCATTAATTTTCAATGGGCCAATAGTGAGCCCCGGACGAATAAACATATTACTGCAGCTGATAACATGTTATCATGTGTAATGCAATACGAGTCTGGTGCATTAAGAATCTTGGACGTTTTCGGCTTGTGATTTTTCACCCGATTCGTTTGACATTCGCCGTTAATCTGGCCGCAGAAATCTTCTCCAACACTTAAATTATGATGTATACGATTCGTTAATACACTTATAAATATAACTTTACTATAATTTATCATGTGCAAGTCACTCTCTGTATCGTTTTATTTTTTTATTCTTTTAGTAAGTACATAAGTATTTCAAGCATTTGTCATTCCGCGATTCCTGGTGTCACCGCTTTGCTAGACAGAAGAAGCGAATTTTGTCAGGTTCTTTGTAAAGCAGACAGATTGAACGGCGAAAAGGATGTACAAATACCATTACGTAACAGTATAAATTATGGCATGTACAGTCTGTACACAGTAAGATCATTACGAGTAGCTTATAATGTCCATTGGAAAAGTAGTGAGTGTCTTACAAGGTTTGGTATATCAAAAAAAAATTTAAAAAAAATATTAACATGAATTTTCAATTAAACATTTATTAATGATTTTTTTTTTTTTTTTACTATATATAAACATATTTTGTTTTGGTTATGAAAATATCAATTATTATAAAATCAATTTTCAAGAGGAAAAACTAATAGTATCGTTTGAAGTTTTACTTTTAATATCATGCATATTATACGTATAGTAAATTCACATTTTTTTTTTTTTAAGAATTGGCGCAACGTAACACTAATTTAACGTGTATATAGATATTATATATATATATACTTTTATATAATATTGAATGTTATCGTAAACATATATATATATATAAGTGCATTAATTACACTATCGCTACTTTTTATTTTCATAAAATATAGAGACACGTATATAAAATAAAATTTATCATAAGTAAGAATATATTATATTAAAATCAATAAAATCTAATAAATATATTTTTAGACGTCTAAAAAATGAAAATAATAATAATAATAGTTTTACAAGAACGATAAAGTCTAATAAACAAAAAGTGAACAAAAAATTTGTAACATTTTTTGAAAAATGATTTCCATGTAATAATTTCTTCCGCAGTAGGGGAGAAGGGAAATAGGACGTCGCCAATTTGTTATTATTTATTTATTTATTTTTGAACTTTTGGATACGCACATTATCAATGTTCGATCATCGATTACGTTTCGACACGATTTTAAAACGGCCATTATAAATAATGATAATATTATTTAATTGACGGTAATTATGGATGTACCTAGGTACGGTAACTATAGAGTTATTTGTACGTTACCGCTGGTTAAACGTTCTGTAACGTTCCGAAGCGATTATTGTGAAACGATTTCAAAATCCACCTCTACACGTTAGAAGTACATATACAATTGCGTCAATTCAGTATTAACGAAGACGCGAATTTATCGATATTTCGGCGATTTTTTTTTGTACGGTCGAAGGGGGATGAAATTTTTTTGTTTTTCGTAGACACCAATGTTCTTATGGATAGTATAACCAAAAATAAAAACTCTTCAAAATAAGAAAATATATGTTTCAACTTCAGAGTAATACGTATTATACAAAATGTAAGGTAACAACTTATAGTTGACGAGAAGACACTCGAAGATTGACTTAGTCATTTCTATTGGCATATGTTTCGAAGTAAAATGGGCACATAGTTTCTAGACAAAGATCGCGGTAGAACACGATCAAAAAATACGATACAAAGCATCTCGTTGTAAAGGCATACGTCATAGAAATGAAAAAAAAATGTTTATATGTATCTTTCAGAACAGATTATCCGGGTGCACTATAAATGTTATTATATTATAGTGTTCTATAAAGTGCTATGTTGTATAGATAAATTATATATTTTATGTGAACCGATGTTTATTAACCGTAAGGAATTTGGCGTTTTAAGGACTAACAACGTTTACATAATTATATTATAGTGCGGAGAAGACGTCGAGATAAAATGAAATGGAGAAAAAAAACACAAGATTCGCTCGGGATCTAAAACGTCGCAGTCATAATATAATATGTAAAGGTCTTTAGCCCCGCGCTCGCGATCAAGTACCAAGCATATATATATTATATAGTGCACAACAAAGATACGTAAAAATCCCTTGCTCTCGCCCCCTCCCCACCACACATTGTTGTACTTTTTCGGTTGCTCACGGGGCTCGGTCAGACGAAAATCTAGTGCGGGGCGACTGTCGAGGCACAAGCACACCGTAGTGACGACGGCGTGGATGTAATAATATATCCATGAACGCACGCGAAAACCGTCGGCGGTTAGGAAGAGGGATGGAAAGACGTACCTAATAAATATTCAAAGTATATTATGTTGTTCTCGACGTCAGATTCTGGTCGTAAAAACCGTTTTATTGTAAAGACGGCGGCAGTGACGGCGGCGGTCCTGGCCGCGCGGTATGTCACAAAGTGTTCACTTTATTATTAAAATGATAAAAACGGAGGGAAGGAAAAATAAAAAAAAAATAAAAAATAGAAACCGAATAAATCATGCTCTGGCGCGGCGTGTCATACGCGCATATAGAAAATTGCACAAGCCAATATATTATTTTCACGTCAAGCGGTTTTCTCTTTATTTTTTTATTTTTTTTTTTATTACACGTATAATGTATAATGCATATAATAATATAATAATATGTGTATTATTGTTACCGGTAAGTATGTATAGTAATCGTCTTTTTTCGTTTCAAAAGAGCGCATTTTCTCACGTCACGCGTACACAATAATAAATAGGCAATATAATATAGTCATAATTACAATAATAATAATAATAATAATAATAATAATAATAATAATTATAATAATAATCGATAAAGTAATGGTAATTAACATACGTATATATAGTACAATAAAAATAATAATTTATCAATAATAATCAATGTTATGCATTCGATAGTTTTACATCGTTCACATAATACACAATGCGCAAATATACTAAGCGACGTCGACAATATCATATTTTTCATTCTGGAGCGTACAACGGATCGGAGCTGTTTATTTATCCGTTTAAACAATTTTATCATAATGCGTATCATAATCAAACAATATGCGCGCGCATGCATCATAGTATATTATTATAATCTTAACCATATACCTACATAATAATATATCTATATAGGGATTATCGTCACTATAAAGTAGTTACACGTAAAATATACAATAGGTAGGTATAGTATTGAAGTATTTAAATATTTACAATTACATAATATTAAAATATATTGTGTAATATTACGGCAAAGAAAAAAAAAGACCTTAAGAACGAGTTCGAAATGATTTTCAATTTATTTTATTTTATCTTATTATACTTATATTCTTCGAATAGTCCGCGCGGCGCACTATAGGTCGCGACGTATATATATATCAACGGCGACGGCAAAAGCTGAGACAGTTGTCTGCAAAACAAAATAAATATTTTGACGCAATAATATTATTATTATTATTTTCATTTCGGCATGACGGTCGCGTATGTATAAACACTATTTTGCGCACTGCGGCGGCGGCAGACATATTATTTTACCCACCCACACTCTGCACTGAACACATGGATATTACACACAGCCGTCGCCGAAAAAATAGACTGCGACAAAAGCCAAATCTCGCGAGTCTGTGTCTGTGTCTATGTGCATATATTATTATGTGTATGTGTATAATATTATACCTAGAATAGTGTGTTAATGTATTATTGGAGCGACATAGTCACATAATATTATAGCGTGTTATTGTTATTATCATACGTTCTCGCGGATTCGGTAAACAATACAAATATTTTATGCGATAGAGTAAACGATATTATAGTTTATTGTTTTATCGCAAACGTCACCAAAATAAGCAATTCACGTAAATTTTATGATATTTACGATGAAAATAAAACAAGCGGCCGGGGAATCTCGTGCCCCGGTAAAACTATAACGGAGTGGATAATCACACAACCGAGCGCCGGTTGTATAGGTATAACTTATATATTATAAATGTGTAAGTTTGTGTGTATGTGTGTGTGTGTGTGTACGTATATATAGAGAGACGAATAGATGTTTGTCGCGATGGCTTTAGTCCTGTACACAGAAACTACGTTCCGATCTATGAAGGTTGAATGTGTATATTATTATATTATAGATCTATTATGACGTGCGGATGTTTGCAGGATCGGCGGGCGTTTATAGTCTTGCCGCAAACGAGACGGTGATGACGGCGGTCAGGAGCTGCTGGAGGAATCCGTCGAAGAGGGCCGGTACTCCGCTGTTGACGATCTCCGGCAACGTCCTGACCATGATCGGTTCGGTGTATTCGCTGAAACCGGCCCGGTTCCTTGCCAGGATTTTCGTCGTGTATTGGGTATTCGGCTTGAGGTTGACGAGTAAGAAAGGACCTGAAACATGCACCGCACGTACCGGCGTTTCATATTGTGAGACGAAGTACAATATTATTATAATACAAAACTGCCGGGGAGCTGGTAGGTTTTGCGTGTATAAAATAAAAGACGGTTAATTCTGTTGTAGCTAGTTTGTGAGTATAAACAGTATTGTTATTATTTTCAGCGGTGTATGATAGTAATAAATAATTACACAACTTTTTTTAGGCATGGGGCACTGTTATATAGGCTGTAATTGTGGCGGGGGACGGACAAGGGGCGTCGGTTACACGTACCTTCGGTAGTATTGAAGTTCATCATGTCAAAACTTTCGAAAGTGTTTCCGCTAGGTTCCACGACTTTCGTCACGTACTCGACTCTGTAGCCAATCAACTCGTCGCCTTTGTCGTTGGGCAACACTTGCAGTTCGATGTAGTTGTCGCCGACACTCGTCACTGACAGACCGCTGGGCGTTTTTGGCTTGAATCCTTCGATCAGGTTGAACCGTCTGGTAATTTTGCCCAGACTATTCGCGGCCGTGCACGAGTACGATCCCAACTTTTCCGGTCTGTTGAACGTCACCTAAAATGGCGTATATAAACACGCAATACGTACAATTATATGGTATACGTTTCTCATAGGGTTCACTAAATTATATGATAAAATATGAACCATTAAAAAAGTTTATAACACGAATACTTGTGCGCGCAGAGTATAATATTATTAATATTGACGACACGCAATAGCTCGCGTATTGAAACTATAATATTATAGTAAAATATTATGTAATACAACACTGCAGAAATTACCTATTTGAGGCAGTTAAATGTAAAATACACGTACAGATAGTTTACTTTTTGGCACCCTTTTTTGGCATGTCCCATCTTCATTTTAAGATTCTATAACTATATAGGCTGGTTTCTAAGACGTTCTGGAAGTAGCAGAGTTGTGCTCAATTTTTCAGAAGTGATAAAAATAAATGTTGAGCAAATATTATTGTTTAGATTGCTGCATATTTTAAGAAACGTCGAAAGGAATGTGCAACAAAATAAGATGAAATTTATGGTTTCCATTTTAAAATATTACTGATAACTTAAATGATTTATCCTGTCATTGGATGTATACAAAACAAAGCACTTTACACAAATTTCCTCAAATTTCCTACTCTTTGACTAATTCGTAAATAAACAGACTATTTATCTAGAAATACTATCAAAGTAATATTTTATAAATTAAAATGCTGCCTTAAACGTTTTCACACCCATAATACTATTTAATAAGAAAAAAATAAAATACTTTACACAGTAAAGTATTAATGGATAGGGAGATTTTCCAAGTATTCTTAAAATTTGAATTTTGGAATTTTTAAAAATACTAAAATTCTTGAAATTTTTAGTAAAAAATGTTGTTTTCCAAATACGTTTTTTTTTTAATTTTAAATTATTTAGTTCCTTGATATCTTTTTTTTTTTTTATTATTTCAACATAAACAAAATTTTAACGAGCAGTTTTTGAATTATTTAACTTTGTGTACTAAAAATAATAATTTTATGAAAATAGGTTTGTATTGAAGTGACATGGCAACATTGGTGAGTGTATTTAAAATATTATAAATCAGATTTGGAATAAATTAACTGTTAAAATAAAAGGGGGAGTAAGCGTAATTGGTGAATAACCATGTATAAAAAAATATACTATTTAACTGTGTTTGTAATAATAAGTGTTGTTTTATGTCAAAATTATCGTGAACGTCTAATAGTTTGTAGTCAAATCGACCAGTTAAAGTGACAAGAATTTAGACTAAAGTCGAATCGTTAGAATCGAACCGAAAACAATTTACGAAACGGGGCCTTCGAAATCATTACATCTGGCGCGGGCGTGCATCTAATATTATTTTACTTCGGTCAGATATCTTTTACTGAGGGACAGCACCAGGAAAAAACACGTTTTCGTGCGTACACTCGGAAGACAACAAATATTATGTTTAGTCGTTGCATACACCTTACAGAAAGTGTAGTACTAAACTATATATTATTATAAGCTATGTAATATAATACGTACGATGTAGTGGTCGGCCGGGTTTGTGAAGGGTTTTCCGTTGAAACTCCACGACATGTTTGCCGGCGGTTCTGCAGAATTCTGACATGTTAAATTAACTGAGTCCGAATGGAATACGTACAGGTCAACGGGATCGCTTTCCATATCGTTCAAAAACACCGGTTTGTCTGTGTAAAAAAAAAATATATATATATGATCCAGTCATTATATCAAACGAATGCAGACACGATAAGAGAGCAGTAATATTGTCGGTACTGTTATTTTATTGTTATGATTCTTGACTCGAGTTGTTGACGATTACATTAGCGAATCATCAAGTAGTCGATATCATGCGTACACACGTCATTATATTTTTGATTGAGGGTAGTTGTGTGTATTCTCTCTCTCTCTCTCTATCCATTTATATATATATATAATTATTACAGATAATAAACTTTAGTCGATAGGCACGATCGTTTTAAAGCTTTGTATTTAAGAACAGTAATAAACTTAAATGGTTTGTTATGGACACAATCTATACTATTATTTCAATGATATATCGTTTCTAACAATGTAGATAAACATGAAAACAAATATCGTATACACATATTTCTCACAAATAAATTTACTCGGAGAACACCCCATTTAACTTAAGCCCATATAATAAACTTATGAGATTTTAGAGTAGAGGCCATATTTTTATTGTCAGTTTTGTATAATATGAACCCGCCTGTTGGCGATAAAAACTAATCGTGTATCGACGGGTCTCTTTTCTCCACTACAGTTACCCATAAATAAACAAACACACATTTGTTATTAAAATATGTTTGACTTTTATAATCAAAACCCCTGCCTTTTATTATTTAAATACAACAAGAAAATTTAAATTCTGAAAAACTTATCATGAAGATTATCAAACATTTTAAGATAAAATTACCAATTTAATATATTTCAATTCTATTGACGTTTCGAAAAGTTTCTAAAAATAATTATTCTGTTATTTTTTTTTCGCTCTACGGGGAATATAAAGTTCTATTAATACTATGGAGTATCCAAGGGTTATATGTATGTAGGTGGTATAATACATCATATATATATATTTATGATATTATTATGATGTAGTCTACTATAGTAGACAACAGAGGTTGTATTTCCATTTTGTTTATTTTTTCACGGTGCGACTAATTGACGGGCTATTGTTAGAATAAAAAAAAAAAAAAAAAAAAAAAAAAAAAAAAAAAAATAGAATATAGTGGTGAAATTATAATGCCACCATAACTCTAATAGCAGATGGTATTTTTTATTATTATTTTGTAATGCACCAGTGTTTGCTATTAATTATTATAACTAATGTTATCATCGACCATGGAATTTTCATTTGAAAAAATATTGGTGAATAAGTAATCTAGAAAAGGTCAAACGCATTCACCCATTATTAAGAATTAACAATAATCCATTTTAGATCTTAAATTTTAGGAAGTAGAGGTTCAGTTAAAAAAAAAAAAAAATTGTTGATAAAAATTGTATAAAAAAGAAATATGTTCATTGGAATATTTTTTTTTTTTTTATTTTAAATTAAATTAATTAAATAAAATATGTATGATTTACATTTTTATTGTGTAATTATGGAATTCAAAATGTGAACTTATCATTATAAAAGTATGAATATAAAGATATTTTACATTTTTAATGATTAAAATATTCAACTTTCTCCATTTTATATACATAAAGTTTTTCCAGGATTGTTTTAGAAATGATTACCTTTGTAGGGGTGTCAGGAGGAGACGGAAATTAAAGTTTAACATGTTGTTAATATACTTATACAAACAACGTAAGACGTGCCGTAATATGGCGCGGATCATGGGATGTAATCAGAAATAACCTTAGCTTAAACTCACAAGACGTAAAATGTATTTTTTTAATAATTGTTTTTAAATTAATTTTTTACAGAGAAAAATTATAATTTATATTCTAATAAATTTATAATTATATTTTCGTATATTAATATTACCTATAGTTTAATTATAAAATAAAATAAGTAAATACGTTTATTTTATGGCTATGAATTAAAATGCCATCGTTTACATTTTTTTTATGTTTAGATATTTTTTAAGATTTATAAAACAATTACAAGAATAATCTATTAAGATGTACATTTCGAACTTGAATAAATATTTTAAAAAGCAAACGCATGTTTTTTTTCATTGTGATTTAAACGACTATCTTCGTAATAAAACAAATGTTGTACTTTTACTAAAATATTACTTTAATAGTGAATGGTTTATTTATTTTTTTTTTATTAAGAAATGTCACGAACAAGTTAATAAATGTAGGTCAGATTCATCGAAAATTGTTTTCTAAAATAATATATAATCGCCAGTTTAATATTATCATACATAAAAATAAATGATAAAGTCTGAAACTTTTTTAAATGAAAGCTTTAACGCCCATATATTATATAATTATAGGTCTATGAAATATCAATAAAGTATAGTACCTACTGGTTTTTTTGCACGATTAATGGATTAGATTTTTTTTTTTTTTTTTTTTTATGCACTTATTGTAGATTTTTAGTTAGATACTCTTAACATTATTTGATAATGAATAAAATGCATACTCACGTCTAACTTTCAATTCAATAACTGTAATTCCGGAAACGCTAGACTTGTTAGTGGTCTCGAAAGCTCTGCACGTGTATTTACCCGAATCTAGATGTGTCACATTTCGCACCATTAGTCCGCCTTCTTCCACTGAATATTTTCCACCTGTGAGATAACATTATATCATTAGATTAGTTACCTATTACGGGCACCTCGACAATTCGGTAAATATGGTGGCACAAACACTACCTATACTACACGATTAGTATTACTTACTCGATGTCTTTTCTTTTAATGTTTGACCGTTGTACGTCCACAAAAAAGTGGGATTAGAGTTGCCTTTCACATTGCACGTGATAAAATAGTCGGTGTACTCGTTAGTGATCTGTTCAACGGGCGTGTTAAATTCCAATATTTCTGTTAACAAAATCGCATTGTATTAATATTATTTTTTTTCGTACATAAGAATAATATGTCGCGGTAAAATATACAAAATATATCAGTAATAAGATAAAGCCACTGTTGACCTCCCGGAAAAGGGTGATCCTCTTATAAGTAACAAGGATTCAAAACTGACATAATCTTACACTCGTTCCCTTAAAGGTCATGTATTATATTTTTTGTAGTCGTTACGTTTGTGTACATTTATACCGTTCTCAAATAAACACATATATATTTATATATCGTAACACGCTAATACACACACACGCATGCACACACATACTTAAAATGGTATCGATTTTGTACGGCAGAATGATATACGAGGTCGCGTAGCTATTTTCATTACACGCGACATTGCTAATCCTAATTAACTCTATATTTCACCACATTGCGATATCACGTCGTCGTCGTAGTCGTGGATACAGAAACCGATTTTTAACGCGAATCCTTAACGCAGTGGAGGGCCGAACTGATTTTGTAGGGCGTGTACGAATTCTACGAGTATTATATTGCTATTGTTTTTATTACCTACGTATATCTATGTGTTTTATTATTTGTTAGCCCATTACGAACAATAAACTAAGAAATAGCTATCAATGTTGTGTACGACGACAGGTTTTCAGTATTTCTTGACAATTAATTTTATTATTGTAAGTCGTAAAAGGTAGGCGAATAATTGGTGTATCCAAACAAACGTATTCCGAGAAAAAAAAAGTGAAAAAATTAATGTGATTTTGTGCATTACAGACGGAGTCTATACGTATGTTATTTCAAACCTACATGAATGAGCAGATCGCTATTGACGCTATTGCACTCAGTGAGCACTTCAACCCTGGCGCGTTTTGTGCTTATACTTACATAATGGATAACGTTATAAATGTACACATTTCTATTTAAATAAAAAGGTCGATCACTTCGTGACGATTTGTGCAGAGCACACTTTTAACCGGGCCTTGTTATTCGCATACTATGTGTTTGAAAAGCGAAAATGCATGATGTACTCGAAGTGTAAATTTCAACTAGTCTTACCGTACAACTCTACAATTTGTAGACTCCGAGTTGTGCTGTGGTGTTATCGATTTTACAATGTTGAGTTTTTTCTTTCTTTTTTTTATAAAACACTCTTTGAGGTCATAAATAACGATCCAGATACTTTATTCGGTACAATATATAAATATATATATATATATATATGCATTTAGATTTGAAACCAAACATAGATTTTAATGTCAATTTTTCAATTCCCCAGAAAATGTTGAAAAAATTGTGAAAAACAGCGGAACACGTTGATCTCTACCAAAACATATTACAGTGACATTTTGCGTTTGCTAAATCCTACTCTGGTTTAGTTTTTTCGATTTGAATGTGATCATCCATTGCGTTAAAATCAAAAACATCTACCACAAATGTATGCTAAAACAAGTAAAACGAGTACTGTTACTACTCAATATTATCTAAAAGCTACTGTTGATACTTTTTTGTGTGTATATGATCTATTCTTATGTAGTAATTTTGTTATTCATCACTATAATTACATATATAAAATATTGAGGCAGTATAATATATAAATTGGTTTGACGGAGAATTTCACAATAAGAATATTATGTGCCAACTTTTTAAAAGTTATGAAGAACATTTTGAAAAGGAATGTCAACAAGCGCGATTTTCCACGACTTTAGAATCTGTTTTTCATACGCGATAATTTATTATTGTTTTACAATTTAATATCACAATTATTACTCGACAATTGTCTTAGAAAAGCGATTCGAGACGCTTTTCCAACAAACCAGGTATGTACTTAGATACTTTTTCGGCATTCTATTATAAATCTACTTATTATAATACAGTGAACCTATATTATAATATTTATTGTTAAAATACTAAATTTGTATTTATATAATTAGTTTAGAACTACCTACAATAGTATATTTCTTGTTTTAATTATTGAATTTCATCAAGCTAATTAATTATTCTTTACAGAAATTAATGCTTAGTATTATTTTAACATAAACGGCGACATGCTATACCATTGGTATAAATTAAATAAAATTAAAATTAAGAAGGACATAATAGGCTTAAAAATAATTTGTTGGACGTCTACAGTCTTGTAATCCGCACATGCATATTATAATATATTATACGTATTCAAATAGCTTATGTCCAACTTACGTATAGTTTCATTAATTTTTTTTTGTTTAAAAAAATTGATACATTAAAATAAAAAATAAAAATGGGGAGATGCATAGTCCTTTATCGATTACTTTGGAATAGCGAATTATCCAAAAACATATAATTATGTAATAATATTTTTTTTTATTTAACATTTATATATCAGCTAATCAGAAGTCATTAGTTTAAAGTTAACGATTTATTTACATTTGAATTAGACTACCTAGTAATAAATTAAGGCTTATATTAGGTTATATAATTTTATTACTTTTAAAAAGTTAATGATATTTGTATTTGATTAAATGTCAGGTTGTAGGGTTTCTCCTAGAATATGAGGTATGTAGTGGTTGTTTTGTGAGTCTTTGGACTAAAGACATTCTGTCAATGTATGTTTGACTGTATTGTCTGCTCCACATGATTCATATTTAGGGGGGTTGTTTCTGGCATTGAAGTGGTTATGTGTTATAAATGTATAAAATATAAGGGTATAAACTGATATGATATCGATAGCACGAAATTAAACCCATATAAGAGTGGATGGGGAAAATAAAGAAGTCATCGAGATATGGCTTTTTTTTAATCGTTTTCAAAAAATTAAGTCTCTTAAAGGTACTTAAAATATTCGGTGTAAGTAAATGAAGACAAATAGAATATCACAAAAATACTTATTATACAGTTGTAGGCAAATGAAACACACGGCAGTGGTTGTCATCAGATATTGTAATATTGTGATATTACAATAATCTATCAAATATTACACGATCTGTACTAATTGATATAATATGTAAACGTCGTGTTTGGCAATTATATTTCATTGGCCCACCTTGCACCCGCGCTAACTCACGATAAAATAATATTATAACGCAACGTGGGCACGAAATGACAGCGAAACGATTGGAGATGGGGTAAGAAATAGCGTGTTGGAAAACTCGTCTGGAGTTATAAATTATATAAGCTGATTAAAAAAATAAAAATGAAAAAATAAGGAAACGGTTCACCTCCGTTAATACAAGACGAGGCGGTGACTTCCATTTGAGCTTGTATTTCTCATCGTACAGGTTCTATTTATTTTTTTCCGTATCACGCGATTTTCATTCGAAACATGATATATAATAATATATATTCACATAAGTATAAATCACATTTTCTTTTTCGCCGACATAAACGGTTTAATATAAATGACTCTTGACATAGTAGCGTTGGCCGCGCGCGCGCGATCGTCCTCGTCCGTCGACCAGTCTTAGGATTATTATTATTACTTTTATTATATATATATATATATTCTCACATAAATACACACAGATAGATAGATTAGGTAGGTATAGAAAATTACATTTCGCACCCGAATACGATTTTAGATAAGAAAAATATACCAAATAGGCTTCACAGGACGGTGGCATTCTTTTTTACACATATGTATATATATATATATCTATATTTGTGGCGCTATCCATTTCTCGGGTAATATTCCTTTATATACTATCCTTTACTGTTCGCCAACACGCGTGTATTCTTTTATTTTTTTTTATTTTTGTCACTGGCGCGCAGTCTTTTCCAGTTTATTTATATTTGAGTTTTTTTTTTTTTGCCCGCGACGTGAAAACAAACTTAAGTAAAGGAGCCGTATCACACGGTAGAAAACTTTTCAAACTTTTTATATACCTACTTAAAAGGAATATACGGCGTAAAAACATATATATATATATATATGTGGAGTGTGTAGGTATATGTAAATTTGAATAATCTCGAAGAGAAAAACTTTAACGCATATTATGTATATATATATTCTGTATACCACCGGTCGCCGTCGCTTGTTTAATTTTACATAGAAACGAATATTTTTCATTCACGACTGAGCTCAATAACATAAAAAAAATAATTCTCAAAAACTATATAATATACATAATAGTAATAATTATATACTAGTTATTTCCGAGTTCAATGGGGCTATCGAAATAGTAAGAGCTTGGTATTTAATACGATCACTGTTAATCGTATAAACACGACCGGGGTCAGAGACGTTGACGAACGACAGCAAACTTATCACAGTATATAATATCGACGGTCACCGGAGTTCGCCATAAATTATTTTCTCGACCGAAATCGTGTCCATTTCGGATTTTAAATTGAATTCGAAATTGAAATTAAACATTTTCACTCGTCGTATGGCGAGTATAGTGTTTATATACTTATATTTTTCGTATATCGATCGACGTATTTTCCCTGTGATTTTGTGTGTTTGATGGAAGGGTGGATGCGGAGGTTCTGCGATACCATGACGTGAATATTTTTTCACTTGCCATAATATAATATATATTTAATTCTGATTTGTATTAACGTTTTACATGACATATATTATTGTGTTTCCGTGTAACTTGACGTTACGTATAGGAAAAAAGAAAACACGCGTGGATTTAATATACGTATATTTGCGATATATTATAATAATAGTCACTATTTTCATAGCAGCGAATGCGTAGAAACATTAAAATTGTTATCTCGTACTGCACACGTCCACAGGATAATCCGTGTTAAATTTTAATATATAATACCGCTCGATTATTTTGTGGTCAGATCAATTAATGGGAAGTTATAACTATAATTTTTATATTATTATTATTATTTATGACATATCAGTTTAATTCACATTCACGTGTATGTCAATTATGTGACACGTTCAATCAAATAAATATCCTGATTCCGTAGATAATAATATAAACCGTTTAGTTAGTAATTTACTAAATATTTTAATTAAAATGACAAAACCACATTTATTGTACCGCCTTTCAATTTGTTTTTATTTAGTT